AAAAAAAAAAAAAAAAAAAAAAAAAAAAAAAAAAAAAAAAAAAAAAAGTGATGTACAAAACAATATGTTATTGCTGGGCTGGCGACGATGTCATTTATATTTCTCATCCAGCAGGGCACGCGCCTCTCTTTTTCATTTCCAGCCGGCTCTCCGAGTGAATCTGCGTTGCCACGCGCCCAGTGTAATAACACAAAATTGTAAAAGGGAAAAAGCGAGCGATGACCGAGGCGAGCCCTGTGCGTAATCGTCGGACAAGAGTCGCAGATGGGAAAAATTCGAGGCTATTGGGTTTGTAAGGCCCAAAGTGTATGGTGTTGGTGAATACTGACCTTATTTTGGAGAATCGGAGGCATGTACATCGAGAGTGGAGGGTCCAAGTGAATAATGTTTACGGCGATTGCACTGGACTGCTCTCCCCCTCCACGCCACTGTTGATTAATCGGACCTTTTGTCATTATCATTCCGTTGCTCGCGGTAGGATGAAACATCGTTTTTCGGGCTAATCTCATCCCGTAAATCACTCCCGGGGCGTAGTGCGTTTTTATTTTTGCAAAGCCATTTTTTAACTACACCGTTATAACGTGAGGGTGGGCGATTAAGCGGCGCTTGATTTGACGCGCGCTCTTCAATTTCTGCACGCATATGGTTGTGTTTCTTTTCTTCTCGGGATAGATTGATGCGAGAGCCCAATGCGTTGGAAATTGGTGACATCAAAAGTAAGGCTGTGTATTTAAGGTCTGACCCCGTCTCTTGATAAATGAAAAACCGAGTTATCTCAAAGCTTTCAGAGCTTTTATTTGCCGATGAAGGAGAAGGGAATAATATGACGTTACTGCACGGAGTTGTACAAGTGTACCGTACTTACAGTTATTTTTATTTTTTTTTTTCTTTTCTCACTTTATTTCTTCCGACACCTCCCATCGTGTGCCGAAAGCAAGCCAAGTAAGGGCGTCCGAAGGAAAAAAAAAAGAAAAAGAAATGGAGGATGGTTGAAGTGATGCGCGAGAGCCACTCTTCCTTTTCCCCTCGAGTCGACCTTGAGGCAAAATGCTCGACGGCAAACTTTTTCCTCTCAGCAGCGCGAAAAAGTAAGTCGTAAGAACGACGCTGATGCCCGAGGCCTCTGCACGTTGCCATCCCGTCTCTCTTTGTACTTCTGCAGCCTCGGCTCTGTACAGGGGCAGCGAGTCGTTCCGGCAAGTCTTACGAAGGAGGTCAAACGTGGCGGTAAACGGACCAAACGCCGCGGGAGGATTGCGGCGAGCCTCCCTCCGTCTTCTTTTTCCTTTTTCCCGGGGCTTCCTGAATTACACCTCTCCCCTATAGCTGTCGGGGAGCAAGTGTTTTTCGACCGACTGTTGTCGTGTCGCGGCTATTATGCGGCTGCGACATACTTCTCGCGGTTGCAGAAATCGTTTTTTTTTTTTTTTTTTTCTTTTTTCAACCACTGCCGCGAGTTGTCTTTGTCAAACTTTGAATTTTGAGTAAATTTTCCCGTAATCGTAACGAATTTTGAAAATGGGGGCCTCCTCGACGGGTGGGGCCGGTGGATTGACGCTGTCGTACTCAGCTTTGGCTCGTTTCATACAAAGTTGCGAGCTCGATTGGGCAGGGCCCGGCTGTACGTCGTACTTGTAGGGCGACAGAGGATAATGGCCCTCCATTAGATTGTAGGGGTTGTCGGTTTCTTGGATTTTACACTTTTTTTCCGGTTGTTTCACGAGCATTCGGCCAACGAAGAAGCTTATGAGGAACACCTGTGTGTGCAATATGCACAAAAATATACAGATGACATTCGGGTGTCCCTCTAACCTCCACCTCTCGGTTTTATAAAAAAAAAAAACAAAAAAATTCGTACCTTCGTGCCATACGGAACCTCAATGGGAGAAATGCCGTTCATTGTTTTTCTATTTTTTTTTAACTTTTCTTTTTTCCTATTTTTTTTTGTTTTTGTTTTTTTTCACTCTGTTTTTATTTCACCGCAAAATTTTGATCCTAGATTTCGAAAAATGTATATTAAAACTATTTCCTTCCGGTGAAACTCAAAACATTTTTTTTGACGTACCTGAAGTTGAGCGCCCTTCCATCCCTGCCATGTATAGGATATAGGTGGATAAATAAATAAACAACGAGCGAATACTGATAGATTCCATTTATTACAAAAACGTACACACACACACACACACACACACACACACACACACACACACACACACATAATCGTCTCAACGATCGGATAAATATATATTTATACATATATGTGGGGTCGCGAGGTTGTCGGTGATATTTTTTTAACGTTCGTCCACCTGCGTGGTATGTTACATTCCACAATGGCCAACGAAACAAAAACAAAGGGATGTCGCACACATTACCTACAAATCTACATTGTGAAATAGAAAAATTGATTTTGCAGTCGTGGAAAAAAAATAACGGTAGAAAGTGTAAAACAATTGCAGTTTGTGGCCACAGTCTAGACATTGGATACTCGGGGCAAAAGACTCGCTGTACAAAAGCGTTTTTCCATACTCCATACTTACGAATCGCGGTGAAACGGCGATAGAGGAAAAAAAGAGAGGGAGGAGGGATGCGTGGGTTGTTTTGTTGTGCGCGCGAGCGTCGAGAGAACAAAAACAACGACGACGACGACTGTGTATAGGTACAAGTCACAATAATCCCACGGCCGTCGTTGAACTTTTATTGAAAGGTGCTCTCTCCCTGACCGAGGGATTGATGATCGAAACGACGCCAACGCGGTTTTTTTTACCTTTGTGTTTTTCCTTTGTATCTACGAAAAACAAAAGGTGCAACAAAATGTGTCAAATGACAAATACACGGTTCTTTGTAATCCAAAATGCTATCGCGGGTCTACCGCTGCTGTTCTGTTTGATTTCCCCCCTACAAAATTAAGACAACGCTGTTAATGACGCTCATGAACCTAAAACCTGTTTTTATTTGTTATTTTTTTTACATGTTAAAAAATTGGTGATTGTGACGAGAGCCAATAAAGAAAAAAAAAATCAGTCCGTACAATCAAATACTTGTCCGTGTAGGCGTAAAAAAGTGATCCCCGGATTTCCCAAATATAATTCAATAACGACCCCTCCTCGGTGTCAGCCGCGTACGAGAGCCATCCGGCAGTGCTGACAGCGCACACGAGCCAACGTCGGGCTGCAGACGCGGGACGAGTTCTCCCGGATCTGTGATAGGGCACGCTCGGCTTGTGCCGCCTACGTGTTGTGCTGGTCGAGGTTGTGAGTGGCGCCGTCGTGGACCGACTCGAAGCCACCTGCACCCTCGCTGCTCTCCGTGTATCTGACCTGGTAGGCCAGCAGGGTGCCCTTGTCCCACGCGTACAGCTCCTGAAAAATATCACAACCACGGGGAAACGAATTAAAAAAAAAAAAAAGGGGTGAATCTGCGGTAACAAAATATATGGAAATACTGGGGGTTGAGGAGAAAAAATTATTACTGCCTTTACCGCTAAACAACCACCGAATCTGGCCGATCGAGCTAATGGAAGTTTAGAAAATTGGGGGTAGGGTGCTGCCATACGCGATTGATAATTGCGTATGGATTCGGCCGCGAATCGTATGTATATACAGGTAACACCTCGTGAAACAAGAGCAGTGCAGTTGATGGGGGCGCGGACAATCGAACGGGATAAACGTCGATCGGGATCTCACCTTTGTTCTGCTGTTGTATCTGAGCATCGTGACTTTTTGGTAAGCGTTCGTAAACGACAGGCTGACGTTCAGCTGCCTGCCGTGGTAGAGATCCATGGCCAAGCTGAAACGAGATGAAAAATCGTACGGTCATCCGCCGATGAACGAAGCGACCATTCAATTTACCTCTATCGTGTTAACCGTATAATGTGTGTGGATATGGGTACGTGTCAAAAGAGAGAATAATTTTGCGATCGCTGTGCTATTTGGTTCGGGCTTTTTGTCTCGTTTAAAATACCTACAAGTACATTATCGTCAGTAATTAAATAGCTGATTGATTTGTCAAGTTATGAAACGAGGGAGGGGGAGGAGGAAATTAAGAGCACAAATGCTGATTATTAAGTACACGTGACGTACGATCAATCGGATGCAAGGTAAACAAACAAAAATAACAAACAGTACAATATTATTTGAAAAATAAGTATAACTTTCATGAACTCAAAAACATAAGTAATTGAAACTGCGTTAATTAATTAACAATGGGATTGGTATTAAAGTAATCGAAATACACACCTACAGCAAAAA